CACCTGGGTCCCCACTCCACTGAGCCCCACTCGCTCAGCATCTAGACACCCCCACAGAACCCCCCCACACAGACAACCCCCACTGAGCTCTATCCTCCCCACACCCACCCCCTACTGACCTCAACCAACTTCACCTGGACCTCTCTGAAGAGTCCCATTACCATGGCACCCAGAACCCCTCAACAGCCCCTGTGCAGCCAGATCCCCCCCCCCCCCGCACCTGGATCCCCCACTGAGCCACCCACACCCAGATTGCCCCACACAGAACCCCCACCTGGATCCCCCCACACTTGGATCCTGCCGGCCCATACCTAGTGCACCTGGCATGGAGGGGCAGGCCCAGTCTTGCATTGCGTCAGGGTTTGGTGCAGCCTCACTGCTGAGTCCATGTCCTGGGGGGAGCGGCATAGTGATCTCCCATCTCTGTGCAGTCCGTGGCCTGTGCTCCCCACTGCCATGCTGGAGCCTTTATTTGACAAATAAAAATTTGCAGAATTTTAAAATATTGTGTGCAGAATGTTTAATTTTTTGGTGCAGAATGCCCTCAGGAGTAACTCATGAATTATCTTTGTTACTTTATTAGCATTCTTCCCTCTTGATCAGACACAAAATAAGGCTCTCCTAGCTGACAAAAGAAGCCAGAGTTTAAAAGATGCAGTTTTGCATGTCATTATGTGCAGCCCCATGTTACATATACACCTTGGACTGAACTTGTTTGCACAAGTCAGGTGAACATGGTCCAAAGAAAGTTTGTGTGTATATATAAGATTCTGATCTTTTACACTAGTGTAAATCCAGAGTAATTCTAGTGAAGTGTTCAAATGATTACACTAGAGTAACTGAGACCAGAATCTGGCTCTTTGTGTTGAGGCAGGGTTGTGGATATCTGGATAACTATGAGATAAGCACAGAAACTATCAGTATGGCTGCAAACTAGGCCAGAGCTTTGCCTAAAGATTTGTGCTGCATGTTGCTTTTGCTGTCTGATATTCCTGTTCAGGTGTGTACAGACATTAGACTAAGACAAAGTCTCCAGGATATTGTCAACTAACATCTTCCCAGCAAACAACCCTCATTTATAATGCTCAGCAGCACTGAGAGTATGAATATGAGCTTATAGAGTGTATTTAATCAAGGGCTGGTATTCAGTGGAGAAAAACCCAACTGCAAAGATTTAACAATATTTATTTTCTTTCTGGCATTGGTTTTAGATATTTTTTAATATCAAAATTGTGGCAAGTGAAAATGAAAATGTGAATTTTCTCTCTTTGGCTCTAAGAGACTGTTTACAGGCAGCTTGCTGCAAAGTCCCAACCAAATTGATGGAAATAACGCTGTCTTGAATACAGTAGTCTGCCTGCTGCTCCTCAACTGTCAAGCACAAGGCAGTTACTATTTAGCAGATATAAATGAATCTTTTGTTCCTGGTGCAATATGGGTAGTGAAAAATAATTGAGGGTTGGGAAAGATGAAAGGGAAAAAGTATTTTAAAAGGAAGTGTAAGTCATCTGATATAAATGTAAAATCTGAAGATGATTTAGGTAAAAGTGCCACTGTGGTGTACAGATAACCTGGAGGAGTGACAGCTCTCATTTCAGGTGTCAGGAAACAGCGATTGAAAATAAAGGATATTCAAGAGTTCATTCAGTATCGCCAATATAGTTGTTTACATCTATATGCCTCTGTTAAAGATAATAACTGATTAGTTTTGTTATGTAATAGAATGGTTGAGTTTGTTCAGTAAGAGGAACTGGGTAAAACTGTATGTATTTGTTAATTGTAACGTTTGCCATCACTAACATTTTATAGCAATGCAAAATGTGACAGCATGTTTAAGGCTACAACATACAACACTTCAGGGTTTCACAATGTTAGCACAATTTTGGAATTAAAGTCAGGCTATGGCAGAATAAATGAGAATTCTACTACAAGGACTCATTCTTGTAAGTTTTGAACCTCTTGATAATGCTGAAGGCAAACAACACTTCTGGACTTAATTGAAATCTCAGTGAGCTCAGGAGTTGATGTTACTCAGCACCTTGCAGGATCAAGCCCCATTTCTCAATGCACCAGGCTTGCAAGGGTAGTACTTCCATATTTATTCTTTCAATACTTGAACATTGAATCAAGAGGAGAAAGCTGTTACCAGAAAATTACAGTATTCTATGGTAATGGTCCCAGAAAGTGCTTTGTCCCTTTCCTGCAGAATATTTCTGTAAGGGCAAAATAAAAAAGAATTTTGTCAGCTATATGAGCCTATTAGACTCTGTGGAGGAAGATGTATTGCAAAGTTACTTAAACTATAGACATCTCAAATCTTTTCTTTGCATCACAGATTATATTCAAAATTAGGAGGCAATCACCCTCTAAAATCCCACTCATCATTCAGAATTCCACTAAGGTTAGGAGGCCATAATTCTTGGCTCGGGTGGGAAACAACCTATTCATCAGAGAAGCTGTTTGTTGCAGAGGCTAATAGCCACCTTCTATCAACCACCAACCTAAAAACATAAGTAACTTGTGGTGAAAAGCAGAGCAGAAGGATGTTTGAGTAGGTATTGTGACAAAGCTCTGTCCTTGTCTCCGTGGGTCCCCCGCTTTCTGGGGGATTTTGCTAGCCTCAGAGGCTTACTGTGACACTCCACATAGCCCTTCTCTCTCTCTCTCTCTCTCTCTCTCTAGAGAGAAGGGTCACAGCTTACTAGGCCATTTTCATCATAAGCCAGCGAGTGAGGTAAGGAGAAGCTACTTTTCCTTGCAGTCTCTGTTGTTTCTCAGTCTCAGTGATTAATATGGGCAGGGGAAGGGGGAACCCAGGCCCACCATCTACTCCAGGCTCCAGCCAAGGACCCTAATAGTATCAGCTATGGTAGCGGAGCTTTTGGAAATAGGACACATACAATTCCCTGGGCCACTTCCCCACAGCAGTCCCCACCTACTCTATATCTACTTCACCCTTACCTCAGGGCCCTTCCTTGTGCCTGGTATGGTTTGAACTGCTCAGTTTCACCCACAGCTCCCTCCTACAGCTCCTAACACACACCTGCCCAACTGGGAGGCTTTTAACTAGTTTCAGCTAGCCCCTGATTGGCTTCAGGTGTCCCAATCAACCTAGCTGTCTTCCCTGCCTTCTGGAATGATCTTAATTGGCCCCAGGTGTCTTAATTGACCTGGAGTAGCTGCAATTTGCTTATCCTGGTAACAGGGATTTGTTTAGCCTGTGGCTAATATATCTGTCTCCCACTACGTTACTATAGCCATCTGGCCTTGCCCCGTCACATAATGGTTTTCAATGTTAATTTTTAAGTCTTTGTGAAGTCAAGTATACAACACAGTGTGTCAGACCTCTGACTTGCAAAGCTGGTATTCAGACCCAAGACTAAGACATTTATTATAATCACTTTGCTATAGCCTGGTCTGCTTGTTTGGATGGTACATTAGTTCTCCTACTTTTTGTCTTTGCAACACTAAAATAACTATTTAAGTGCCCTTATGGTTCAAAATTACAGAAATGAGTAATCTTTTCTCAATAATAGCAGTAAAATTAGAACGCAAAAAACCCAAGAAAATGGTTTGGATTAAGTGAAACTTCTTTTTATTAATATACTGGAATTTCAACTGTTCAATTGTGCAGTGAATTCATAGTTACAGTTACCAGTCTATTTTTGTACCAAGAGAAATATCACATAGGTTTAAACTTTCACATATGCATAGATGCTATTTTCACAGTAGTGCTATATTTAGAACATAATTATTTTAATTGAGGAATTATTTCACATTCATTCAAATTACTAATGCAGTATCCTAATCACATACTTTCCACTAGATTTTAGAAACAAAATAGTCAGACAAAGGGAAAAATTACACACAGTATCAATTCTATTGTATGTCTACTTTGAAGAAATTGCACAAGTTCTCCATGTTTTCTGTTGCTTTGCCATAAAGAGGATTGGCAAAGGAAGGGGCACTTGTATCTTTACTGGAAGCATTCTAGAAGAAAGACATAAAAATGTTATTTCAGCAGTAAGTGCTATATGGAAATAGGTACAAGAATGGCAGTAGATATTAGGATATCCAAATAACATGCAATGACACTTGCCCCAGAGACCACCCTTATGTTCAAACTAAGCCAAGAATCCCAAACATTTTGGCCCAGATTCTCAGCTGGTGTAAACGAGCATAATTCTCCTGAAGTAACTGCTTGCTGGGTGGCCTTGGGCTAGTCAGTTCATCTCTCTATACCTCTGTTTCCCACCTGTGTCTGTCTTGTCTGTATAGACGATAAGCATTTTTGGGCAGGGATTATCTTACTATGCGATTGTACAGTCCCTAGCACAATGGGGCCCCAATTCTGATTTGGGTCTCTAGGTGCTACTGTAATATGAATGAATAATGATGATGGTGATCTAGCCCATTGAGTACATTTTTGCTGCATCATTATTATAGGGGTGCTTTGGTTAAGTAACTGATTGCTCATCCCTGGAGTGGTGTTTAAAGCACTATATACATTGACTTATGGACAAGGATATAAAGTTACTCTCCAGGGAAGGCCTTTTGTCATCCCATACTATTTCTAGAGCAACTGCCTTAATGATAAGGGTTAAACTGCTGAATGACTGTGAAATGCTATGCTACATTAAGCAACTGAATGAAGTTCATGGCAGTAGCTTCAGCTGTACCTAGGTTGCATTGCTGCTAAAAGTTGTGGATGGTGGAATATCTACAAATTTCAGTAAATTCCCAGCCCTTCCTTTAATATTACATTGATGGCACCTCCTAATACTGCTATATGTAATAAGGAAAGATGAAATCCTATTTAACAGATTATCTAAGACTCTTTTGAGAGATTATTATAAGCAAGAAACGGAATGGTTAGTAGCACTTAGAACCATGACAGTGAATTTCCATTTTGTAAAACTCTCAGAGAAGCTAAAGACTCAATTTAAGGTTGGCACCTCTCAATACAATTCAGTAGCATAATCATTAGTCTTGAAATTTTCTTAATTATGAGCTGAACACAGTACACCCAGAAGAGCAGTCTGTTTGCATTTACTGTATTTGGTATAATGAAATGTTTCAAATTGAGTAGATGTCTTAGTCCTTTTAGAGAGAAAACCCTAATAAGGAGATTTGAAAAAACATTTAATTTAGGATTTGCAACTTAATTCAGAATTTCAAATTAAACTCCATACAAGGTTGTTTCAATCAATAATTTAGTTAAAAACAAACACTTTGTAGTAAAGTATCAGAGGGGTAGCCGTGTTAGTCTGATCTGTGAAAAGCAACAAAGAGTCCTGTGGCACCTTAAAGACTAACAGATGTATGTGTCTGATGAAGTGGGCATTCACCCACAAAAGCTTATGCTCCAATACATCTGTTAGTCTTTAAGGTGCCACAGGACTCTGTTACTTTGTAGTAAAGTCATCTTCATACTTAGTACTGTGCCTAAATATGCTTATCTATGGAATCTTTTCTGTAATATTTAGCAAATGCAAGCAGAAACAAGGCAAAGTAGAGAAGTAGAGTTTGTCAATAATGCAATAATTTGAGAGAGGTTTGAAATACTCATCATAGGAATGAACATGGCATTTTGAAAAGAAAATTATTGATACATACCTCCTGCTGTGTTTGACATGGGGAAACACTAATTTGAACAACGGGTGAGGCAATACACTCAGGAGGCTACAAAAGAGATATATTAGCTTCAGAGCAACTGTATTCAACAGTAAGTGACATTAAAGAGACACACACCAGAAATATTGCCATCAAAGGATACAACTGAGAGAAAAAATTAAAGATAAACAACAAATTATACAATTATATGGGGCAAAAATGTGGCAATGGTAGATCTAGATTGAGACTGTCAGGAAGGTCAGTTAAACTGAGTTTGTTAAGTACTTAATTGTTTTCATCTGAAGATTAGTGATACTTTTACTGTTTGACTATATTTTCTGATTGGAGATATGAGTCACTCAAACGTAATGTTCTTTAAGCTCTGGGAAAATAGTGTAACCTTTGTTTTGGCTCTTGCAGAAAAATTATAGAAAGCACATATCATTCCATTCTTAAAGAAAACAAAAGAGAAAATCCAGTGGAGCACCGGATTTCAATCACAGTGCCCAGGGATCTTTCATACAGTATGAAAATATCTCTTCTGACATCACACTTCTGTTTTTCAACTTGCTATTAAATGAAGTCTGTCAAGAATCTATTTTAACTAAAATGGAAGTGTCCTAGTAAAATGGACATGATCGTAATGGGAATGTTTCCAACATGCTCTTACAAACCCAAACCTGCAAGTGAATGAATCTGATCTAATGTTTCCAAAATCAGATGTGAGGAACTTTTTATAGAAAGTAAATGGCATGTCATCGTTAATCCTGTTTAATACTCTGGTGGAATCTGATATTACTTACTAAGGAAAGGATAAGAGAAATTTTATTTGCCATGGCAAACCTAGCTTAATTCTTATAGCTCTGATAAGAGTAGTCTCAAAATGAGGTAGGGAAGATGCTTTAAGATTTAATTTGCACCTTTTATTTCCAAGGCATATGGATAATGTTCTTCATATGAATTATTTTTAAATTAAAAAATAAATCATAATGCCACAGTTATGTAACTGAGATGCATTCAGTTAATGGGGTGGAACTGTCTAACTTACAGCAGAATTTTTGGCCCACTATATAATTTGATGCTTGAATCTTTTCTTCCTGAATCTTCATAACTGTATGAAGCTGTTAGATGTATAATTTAATTAGCAATGTTTTATTAGTAGAATAAACTCAGTTATGTTCAGCAAATGGGATTAGGTAAAGCAGTCCCAATAATGATATATTCTGCAGTCTTTTTGTTTACTATAATATTTTATAGCAATGCACATTGCAATGTGTTTAAAAGATTAGAGTGTATATCATAGTTTTCACTAAATCCAGTGGTGTTGCATACATGTAGCTAAGTGCTGTAGTTTAGCTAGCCCTCTATGTCTTTAAAATGCTCTTTATTTTCAGAAGCATGAGGAGAGAGGGAGGCCCAGTGAATGGGCATTTGCTCTAAAAATCTGACTAAATATTCTAACCAAAATAGGTGTTATTCAGATTCACCAGCCAGAGAATATTAGCTGCAATCACAAAGACATTCCTAACACTATATTGCTTTCAAATGGGTCTATTAGTATGCTGAAAATACAGTGCAGCAGAAATCTTACCTTGACTGCCAGTGGCAATATAGTAGTTTTGTAAGACTTATTTTCTTTATTTAAAAACATTCATTTGTTTTCCTGGGGCAGCATGTTTGAACAACACTGTGGCTTTGTACTTTCTACTTCTGTAAGTATACAACTGGCTATTGCTACTTACCTTTACTTCTCCAGGTGAGCTATGATCCTCGTACAATGGGTTAGCGAATGCAGTATTATGGATTTCCTCCAGGTTCCTTAAAAAGACATAGACTCTCAAATAATAAAACTGGTTAAGGCAGAGGCAAAAAAATAAAAGGCAAAATTCTTTCCTGATATAACTCCACTGAAGTCAATGGAATTACACAGGAGATGAATTTGGTCTGATGCATTTTGTTCTGTGTCTGTGAACTAGCAGTTTTTGAAAAGACAGTAAAAATAGAATTGTTTAACTTGCTTCTGCTAAAAATGAATATACTATTGCACATCCAAGGACTTATACAGCATGATTTACAAAGTGTTGTGTAAGGATATTTGGAGCTATACAATAGGTAAAACTGGGCCAAACAGGTAAATTACAGACTCAGGCCTTGTCTACACTATCTGGGTAAGTTGACCTAAATTACGCTACTCCAGCTAAGTGAATAATGTAGCTGGAGTTGACGTAGCTTAGGTCGACTTACTGTGCTGTCTACACTGTGCTGTGTCAACGGGAGACGCTCTCCCACTGACTTACTTTACTCCTCTTGTTCCAGTGGAGTACCAGAGTTGACCGGAGAGCGCACTGCGGTTGATTTAGCTGGTCTTCACTAGATCCATTAAATCGACCCCTGCTGCATCGATTGCAGCAGCATCAATCCCCGGTAAGTGTAGATATGGCCTTCAAAAGCTTACACTTTAATGGCACAAGCAGGCCCAGCCCAAAGACATCACAGTACAGTGCAGTAAGGAAGAGAGTTGCATGTGGTCTTAGATTATTTTAACGGAGGAGAGCCTGATGTACTTTAATTAGGATGCTGTTCCAAGAATAAGGGGGTAACTTGCAAGAAGACACAAAGTCAGGAATGGTTGAAAGAGACAGAGGGAATTTTTGGGAGTGGAGAGCATAACAGAGTTATGGGCAGAGGAAGACAAGAAGGGGCATAAAGGAGATATGGGCAGGAGCAAAGTTCTGGTTTGCTCTGAAAGAACCTGCTTTTGCAAGTTGCCCTCACTCCTTTTACTCTGACTTCTAGTTGGAATTATGTGTCTTGCTTTTCAGCAGGACATGACAGCCAAGCGGGCCCCTACAGCTCGCTCACCCTTGGTAAGTCCCAATTATTAATCAGTCTTTTATCCATAAACAAGCAGATTTTCAGCTTCCTAATCAAATCACTTATGATTTTTTTGCGGTTTGGTGAAATCGCACTGGAGTACTGTTGCCAGACATTTAAACAACAAAGCTAGTAGGCAGAGTAAGTAAATATCACAAGAACATAACATTGCACGTGCCTTATTAAAAGTTATAACAGTGCTATATTGGGAGCAGTATGTGGGATGAAATCACTTTCTTTGTATCATTGTTTTGCTGCTAAAACTCTAGTGATCCAGTCAGTATTCCTTAGTGTAACAAATTGCTCATGAGTAATTACATACGGCCAGATTTTTAAAGGGATTTAGGTGCCTAACTCCCATTGATTAAAAAACAAATCTTGCCCATAGTCTTAGCTGACAACTTGTAATATTGAAATGAATGGATTTTTAAAATCACCTTCCCAGTAAACAACCTGTAGTTATACTTAAAAAAAAACATCAGTTTATTTTGAGATTATTTAAAAGTGGACAGAGCGGATTTTCATTTGTAAAACCTGTCACCTGTGTGTGCAGGTGCTTGAATCCATCAACTGTATTACAAGATTCTTGCTTGCACAAAGTTGCGCTGGCAAAAATGGATGCCAAACTGATGTTACTTTGCAAATTTGGACCCATATCCCTGAATGTGAACATGGTGTATTATACCTTTGGCTAATTAGGAATATAAGAATTGTCATGCTAGAACAGAGAGCCGTTCATTCACTCCCACATCCTGTTATTAATGTGGATGCTGCAGAGAGAGGCATAGAACTGCAGTATTACACAGAAGATGAAAATTCTTCCTGATGCCAGCTGGTCATCAGTTTACACCCTAATTTTAAACTTCTTGAGCAGTCAATTTTACTAAATATATAGCAGTGACTTGAGTTAATCTAATTCCTGCAATGCTTGTTGTTACTTGACATTACTCTCGTTGGAAACGATAGCTCATTGCTGCAGCCATGAGCTATATGTCCATCACAAGGTCTCACAATGGGAATTAAGTTACATATCTTGTGTCAGCCCTGTACTTTGCTGCATTTTATACTTCATTACCCCCTATATATGCCAGTGTAGGAGAGTTTCTTAGTCACATGATTTAAACAACACACTAATAGGAAAATAAATGGTTCAGTTTTTCTTTCAAGGATTAGAGCATAAAAGTTCCCCTCTGTACATATTGTAACACCCCCTCCCCTTATCACTTATCACTCACAAATATCATAGTCCAAAATAATCAGTCCATAGGTCAAGCTTATAAAACACAGCCACGTAGAATACTTTGCATGTGAAAAGCCAATAAATCTCAGATTAACAAAACTGGAAAAAGAAGGGATCAATTAGGGGAAAAAAATGCAAAGTGGTTGGATTTTTAGGATAAACAAACGAAACCAAATGTATGGGTGAAACAGCTCAGACAGAATTGCGTTTTCTAACATAACCAGAACTACCACAAAAAGGAAAGGAAAGAATTAATCATCTTGGGTTGCAGACCAGATCACATGGGTGATACTTTTGCTAAACTCATTTCCATGATGGAGCAGCAGCTGTTGCTTTTGTACAGATTCCACTCACCACAAATAGCATCACACACTTATCAGAGATGGGAGAAAGTTAAATTGATCACAAAAACACTTGTCAGTGTTTAAAGAGATCGTTGAGTTGCATCATGCTTTTTTAATGGAAAAATCAATGTATTTGGATTTAATTGGTTCTGATGTGACAATTCAGAATTCTGTAACTCAATCTTGACTGTAAAACCAAACATTGTCAGTTTTAGTCAGAACACAACATACAATGCTATGCAGTCTGTTATAAGAAGAATGTTCCCTCAATTGAATTTTACCACACTCATAACAAAAAAAGAAAAACAAACAAACAAACAAACAAACAAACAGCTAAAGGACAGATGAGTCAATTCTAATTACACTAATCTCTTGAACACATACTTTATAGATGTTTCAGACTGTAAATCTAATAAAAGGTCTTAGTTCCTAAAATATTTACAAAGCTTTTTACACACAATTTAGGCTTGAACAATATAGTGTAGTCATTCCATTCTGCAGAGGAAATGTATGTCAGGGTGCAATCTGGGTAGACTCAAAAGACAGTTATGGTGATTGGTTTAGAATTACTGTAACTCTGGGTTTCTTGCTTGATTAGTCTGCTAACATACTGTCTTGGCTGCCTAGTTCTGTACTTCATTTTATTCTCAGTTATTTTTTGCTACTTTGTATTTTTTTTTTAAAAGGCCTTTGCATCTCTCATCTTGGTCATGCTTAACTCAAAGACTGAGTGATCTCCTGGTTTTCTCTCCTCTAGTTACCTTGTATTCTCTGTCCTAAGTTAATAGCCATCAGAAATATAATTTCTGAAAAAAGGCAAGAATAAACCAAGATCTTCTTACTATGGCATAGAATGTCCTCTCCAGGAAAATACAGTGGTGGTGGAAATAGCTCCTATACAAACAAAGGTGGCATTTGGAGTGCTTTCATAGGCTGATAAAAGAGCTTATGGAGAAGAGCTACATGCCTGTTGATTCCCAGTCTTGTGCTTTGACCAGAAGACCATACCTCCTCTCTCCTCCTGTCCAAAAGAACAGCCTCCATCTCCTGCCACTATCTCCTCTAACCCATTTCCCCAGAGTTTCTGAGTCTGTTTACTCTCTGATCCCTGCCTACTAGTGATGCTGCTGACAAATCCCAGGAGGTTTGGAGTTCTGTGCTCACTGGCACTGACAGGAACAACATCTCCCAAGGTACACTAACACTGTCTCTGGTGGACCAGGCAAAGGGTGGATAATAAAAAGAATCAGAAGACCTAGGGACATTGGCAGTGTAGTAGACAGCGGCAAATAAACACAGCTGATCAGCTTGAAAAGGATTTTCTAGTAATTGTTTAACATTTATCCTGGAAGGGAAAACATCAAGGTTGGGTTGACAACTGCAATGAACTGGAAGCCATCTTAGCGCCCTGCTTCCATTCAGTCAGGAAGGGCATCTGCCACAGAGAAAGGATCATGGCTGGCAGCCTTGCACTGAGCCTGAGCACCTCACTTGTGGATCACAAGCAGGAATGTGGGAACCTGTCAGGTTTCCTCCAGGTTTGGGGTTTCTCTCTCTACAAAAGTTGCCCACAACCCTAATTGAGAGCCTTGTAGTCACTGCCATATTGGAATGTCATTGTGGTAGTGATATACACAGCTGTCAAGCCACGAGGCTGGCTGCTTTTGTCCATTAGGAGAAGAAAGATACAATTTAATCCAACAGATCTCATCATGTGAGTCATAACCCTTAATCCAGCAGCTGTCTAAGGGTAATTGGCCTGCCCCGTTCCCTGTAGCTGCTTTTTTGATGAACAAGATATGCTGCATTACTTGCAGCGAGTCTCCATCAGATGCTAAAACTGTGCCACACACCACTGTGCACAGTCCTGTGCTAGTTCCTTTGAGGTACTGATAGCTCCACTGTTTCCTTTAAAGTGCTATGGGAACAAACACAAAAGCTTATGGGGGTGTCTGAGGAGAAGCAGCTGCAAATGTCTGAATATGCAGCCCCATAATGGTAGGAGAGCCTGAACACCTTTAATCTAATAGCTATTATACAAAAAGGGGCCCAATTGTGCATTACTCTCTCAGGCCAAACTCATTCTGAATAAAGAATGAAGGATTCTTCTGTTAGAGCACTACACTTCTCCCGTGCCTAACACCTAGTGCAAAATCACATCACTCCATAAAAGGTGCAAAGTGGACACTGCTCTTTGTAGTGAAACCATGCTGTGGTAAAGTATCAGGTGACGTTAATCCTTTGGTCACTTAAATGCCTCTGCTGCATCAAATCCTCTTCTTTAAAAGCAGGAGTAACATCTCAGGTCTCTGTGTGGTGCTGTCACATTGTGCATTTTACAAGCTTATACATGCACAAGTCACTTATCATTCAAAGACTTATTCTCAGACTTCAGTGTTACAATACTAACCACTTTTTCCTAGAGTTGCTTTTGATTTTTAAGAAAGCAATTAGGAATGATCTGCATAAACATAGTAGTAAGTTAATGATGATTATTATTTACCAAAATGTGCTAGGTGCTGAACACGCATTTAAGAATACTGAGTTGCTGCCTGGATGAAGTTTGAAACAACGTCCTCATGATCTCATGGCTACAGTGACCTGTGCATCTGAACTTTTGGTCCAAATCAGCTGAAAGTTAATAGTGACCTAAAACAATTGCTGTCTAATGGTGGTTTGGTGCTGTATGTGAAGTGAGTTGGTAATCTCGGTCTAATTCGTACTAGATAGCACTCTGAATCAGAAAAGCCTCCAGCATCACAAGCTACCTTTTTGGAAATCACAGCAGACAGATCAAGGACTAATTAGGCCATGGAGATTGAACTATCTGACTTTTTATCCCCAAATGTGATTCCCTCCAGGTCACAGTTGAGACACATGCAGAGGGTAGTGTGGGGGATCCTGCACTTACTACTATTATTATTATTTGTATTACCATAGAGCTTAGGAACCCCAATCATGGACCAGAATCGCATTGTGCTTGGTTCTGTACAAACACAGAACAAAAAGACTGCCTGCTTGTCTGCTGTTGTCGTTTCATGATGGTACCTCGACTGTGTAGAAAAAAGAAGATTCTAGAGCTGTCATTCTAGCATCTTTTGTCAGCTTATTTAATTAAAATGGTGGGGGGGAATCCTGTTCCTTAAATCCTGGCTGGGAAGCTGGAAGACAAGTGGGTGACAGTTCAGTAACCTTAAGCAGGTAGAAGGAAAAGTTTAGGAAGGAAGAGAAGTAGCATAGCAATAAATAATACTTTACACTACAGCCAGTCAAATTAACAGTAAAAATGTTTTGGGAAAAATACCAAAACATTTTTGCACAAATTTTCATAGAAATTTTAAAAATTTCAGTCAGCTTTATGTGACACTGAGGATAGCACTATTCATCTCACATTTCTATAGTGCCTTCTATCTAAGAACCTCAGAGGGCTGTACAAACTGGAATGAATTAAGCCTTCTACCCAATGAAGTAAGATAACGAAATTTGATTATTCACACTTTAGAGGAGGAAACAGACACAGAGTAGTTAGGTGAGGCCACACAGCAAGTTAGTAGCAAAGCCAGGATTAGAACAAAAATGTTCTTAGTTCATAGCTCACTGCTGTGTCCAGAAGACCATGCTGTTTGCTAGTTATGGTGGAATGTTGATTAGTGGGGTCTCCTCAGCAATAGCCTCAGTTCATAGATTTGCACTGTTTAGCAGTGCTGTTGGGAGAGAGGGGCAGCCGTGAAGAGAAAAAGGTCTGCAGTAAAGTAGGAGCATGAAGGAGATGAGGTGGCTTTTGAAGATGAAGCCTGGAGAAGGGAAACTGAGGGTGAGGGGAGTCTAACAATACAAAAATGATGTGGACAAAGCAGAAGAGCAATAGGAGTTGACAATAAAGAGAGACCCTGGTAGCTAGTTGTTTGTGTGTGTGTGTGTGGGGGGGGGGAAGGAACTGGCATTAAAGAGGATGAAAATCGGGGGGAGATGGGCAGAGAGAAAGAAAGATGAGGAGAATTGACACCATAGAGAGGAGAGGCAACTAGCAGTAGAAAGAAAGAGAGAGAGAGAGAAAGAGAGAAAGAGAGAACAAGAAATCCAGAAAATGCAAAAAGAGAGAGAGAAGGAGAGACTGGACTGTAGGAATGGAAAGAAGGGTTGAGAGAAGAGGAACAGAAAAGGCAGAGAGTGTTGCTAAGGTAACCCCAAGAGACCAGTCAGTGATCTGTGAGTCTGAGGGGTATTTTTCAAAGATTATGAGAAAATGAATGACTGGTTAAAGAGAACCTATGTAGCAGCATTATAGAAACAGCACTTCTTTATTCCAGCCATTCTTGCAATGTTTTTCCTTTCTCCTTTGATAATTATGGTGGAGTCATTTTATATTTTGGCATGTCAACAGAGAGACTGCTTTTATTTGCACAGCCAACAGCACATGAGGCACATGATAGATAGGGCCCCAGCTCTGACGACCTCACAATCTATATGAGTGTGGGCATGGAGGGGGAAGAAGAGAATCGGGGAAGTGGTAAAAGCGTGAATGGTGAAAGAGAAGAAAGCACACAGCTTAGTAGTTCCACAAATTTTGTTTGGATTCTTATTTGTCTATTCAGTCTTTCTGAACTAATCCTTTTTATTGTTTTATTGTTAAATGTTTCTATTCCATGCAGACTAATTTTCACATGGAGGGGGATGCTTTGAAACAAAAGTTCTTCAAGGTTTTGCAAATATTTTAGAAAACATTTAGGGCAAAACTCTGCTCTCTGAAGTACACACGGTGCCTGCTGGCTTCCAGGGGAGTTGGAGGTGTGCATCTGAGAACTGAATCTAGCCTTAGAAGTTCTGAGAAACCACAGATGTCTCCTATGTCCTCCCATTTAAACAGCAAGTAATAAAAGATGGGCGTTTCTGAGCTGTTATGGCCCCTGGGGCTCTGTAATTCAGTGATAACCACACAATGTTGCATTTAAGGTACTCTAAGCAATCAAGATGCATTTCACTGTTTCCAGTCTGAGGTCCACTAAGGTCAGCTTGTGGTGCAAAGCTAGGTTTTATGTTAATAGCGGCATATTTAAGGCAAACAGACTGAGAGGAGATTTAAAAGCTGAAACCTCAGAAACTGGGCAGTTAGCCGTTGCTTTGTGGCACATTTTTGTCTGCTTTTGCACACAATAAAAGGCTTCACTTACGTTCTTGGCACTTTCTTCTTCCAAAGGAAATACAACACAGCGACTGTGATTTTGATCAGTAGGAAAGCTAATGCAACACCCAAGCCAGTCCAAATATCTGCAAAGTCAGACCAATGAAAGAGAAATAAGCACAGGGAAACACTAAAAGAATGGCTCGAATGCTGTTAATGTCTTTTCACCTGACCTACCGTTTCGAAGGAGAAGGGAAACTGAAGTTGGGGGAGGATTAACCTTGATGTGGCAACGATTTCCTTGCCATTCTTTTCCACATCTGGGAATAAGATAAAAAAAAAAGAAATTTTGAGAAAGGAGGACCTGGGAATGCTTTCAAGCAGAGAATGTAGGGAACATACTGCAGGATGACAGAAAGCACTGGAAAGTACAGTTCAGGTGATCCAAATGCTCTCGGGCATTTATAGGTGTGTCCAGAATGCACAACCTGCAGGTTCAACATTTATGGACTGAAAAGGCAAATTATAAATACAAAAAACAAACCAGAAAGGATCATAAGCAGCCCCCACAGTTAGCTGCTCTGTCATCACCGTCCATCACCAAACAGCGTTGTTCTATACCAATACTTGACCAGTGTGACTCATCCCCCCTGTTATTCCTGTTTTCTTTGGCTCCAGCGAGAATAAGACATATATCTGAGTAGAGAGTCCAGTCCCCCCAGTGGAGATGAAGGCATGGGAGCAGGGAAGGGAGAGAAAGAATCTGTGTTTCTTTTTCTTTATTGCTATCTAATCATTTGTTATTTTATTCTTCTTTTCAAAATACAATCCTTAACCAAACTTCCACTAAAAAACCAACTAACCACAATAAACCAGCCACTATAACCCTTTCAAATGACTGTAAAGTTGCTGATCTCTTCATTTTAAGTGGCTCGAGGTTCAATTGTGGAATCCACAGAGCGCACTCTCAATCTCACCATATATGAATGCAATTGAGTGGCAGAGAGAATCAGCTTAGTGCAACGATTTCATTGACCTATAAATACATAAATCCAGAAGCATGTCTATAATCCCAATATCTAGGATGGTCTAGCATCCTGGTAATTATGATGGCCTCTTGCCTTTTACAGATGCTTAGCTCCTTCTCTCCATTACCATTTTGTTTTAATATTTTAATTTAGAGCCAATAAACCACGCACAGACTGTTACATCGAGTTTTAAAATAAGGATAGGCAAATCTATATATTGTGTGAATTACACATGTACAAACAATATTAAAAGAACATTATTAAGGTTGGAAAGTCAAGCATTCAAAGGTAGGAAATCCCAGAATTAAGGTTGCTTGTACAACCTTAAATTGGCCCCTTTGTGCCTGTGCATTATGATACAGTCTTTAATTATATGATCACATCTCTTTTTGTTTCTATATAAAGAGGCTAGGGGGAAGAAAGAGAGATTTCAGAGATTCATGTAGTTTAAGGCCAGAAAGGACCATTAAGTCATTTAGTCTGACCTCCTACATATCACAGGCCATTCCATTTCACCCAGTTACCCCAGTATTGAGCCCAACTTGTGTTTGACTGGAGCATATCTTCCAGAAAGATATCCAGTCTTGATATGAAAAAATTAAGAGTTCACTACTTTGTAGTTTGTTTCAAGCATCAATCACCCTCGCTGTTAAAAATTGTGCCTTATTTCTAATTTGAATTTGTCTGGTTTCAGCTTCCAGTCACTGGTTCTTGTTATGCTGTTTTACTAGATTAAAGAGCCTTTTTGGCATTCAGTGTTTTCTCCCTATAAAAGTACTTATACACTGCAATCAAGTCATCTCTCAGTCTTCTTTTTGATAAGCTAAACAGTTTGAGCTCTTTGCAGCGTTCAACGTACCATATTTTCTCCAGCCTTGCGTCTTTTTTTTTTTTGTTCTTTTGTGCACCCCTCATATTTTTCAACATTCTTTTAAAAATGTGGACACCAATACTGGATACAGTAGGGCAGTATTGGTCTCACCAATGCTGTATACAGAGGGAAATTTGCCTCCCTAGCCTCCTGTTTACACATCCAAGGATCACATTAGCCCTTTCTGTCACAGCATGTTGAGATGCTTGTCCACTATAACCCCTAAATCCTCTTCAGAGACATTGCTTTCTGGTATACAGTACCCTGTTCTGTAGGAATGGCCTTGCCTTCCTTGTTCCTAGGGGTATATCTTTGCATTTAGCTATATATATTAAGTGGATTAAGAACTGGCTAAGTGACAGATCTCCAAAAGTAGTTGCTATGGTGAATCATCATTGAATGGGGGTGTTTCTCATGGGATTCCACATAGTATAGTATAGTACTAGACTGAAGCTATTGAACATTTTCATCAGTAATCTGGAAATAAATATAAAATCACTGCTGATAATGGAAAGACGTTTTGTGAAACAAGAGAAGAGTATAAAGGGAGTTAACCTACTAATCAAGACTTACAGCCTTGGCTTCACCATTTTATTTATTTTTTCCCTTTTATCCGTTGGTAGGGGAAATTTAGTGTAGTATCAGGCACTGGAATAGAATGTAAATCCATCAGACAAGCCATGTTTGTAATCTGGAGATTCAACCAAATCCTTCTGAGGTTTGGCCCTTCATTAATTACAAATTGGCATCTTCTCAAACAAGAAGTTGCAAATGTTATTTTCTCCATCCAGCTGAGATGCCTGCAGATTTCACCAAACCTGGAAATAAAATGGGGTGGGCCTTTCTTTTCAATCAAAACCCAACCCAGCATATGTGGATACTGAATGCAGCTTTTACTGAAGCCAAACTCTTTTCTGGATGAAGGGGAGGAAGGTGTACAAAATGTCTTTACAAAAGTTTGCCCACATTCTTGTAGGGCCAGATTCTGATCCTCTTACTCGTGTTGAATAGCACCTTATACCACATATGCACTCCTGACTTCAGTAAGACCATTTGTGGAGAATGTACTCTCCAATTTGAATGGAAGGATCTGGTCCTTAATGATTAAAGAAAGATGTTAAACATAGCCAGTCCATGAATTAAAAACAATTGCAAACAATATTTCTGTACAAGCCATACAGTGAAATCTCAATTATCCCAATGAAGTGGGGAACATTGGGAATCCTGAGATAATTGAGAGAATTTTCAAAATCAATAAATCAAATGAGCATGACCTTATTCAGGATAACAAGGAGGTTTGGATAACTGAGATTCAGAAAAATGACACTACTATTTGTCAGCAATACACAGATGACATCCTGCATTACATCACTTTCATATCAGATGCACAGAAATCTCTCAATATCCAATGGCTGCCTGAGATCTGGTTGAGGTGGCACTGGTAGGGAGAGGGAAGTATTTGACTAACTTGTCAGCTCTATAGCATTGCCCTCAGATTGTTAAGGCAAACTTCAACCTTGGTGTAAAACTGGATTTCTCACTGTTTCTGAATACCCAAATAGCCATTGCCACAAAAATTACCCTTTTCCATCACTGGTGGCAAGAAGACCACACCCCTTCCTGACAGATTCAGATTTAGGCACAATGATCTAGGCATTCATGGCTCTTGGTTTGGTTACTGTGATTCTCCATTCCTAGGTATGAAATTGCTGATCTTGTAAAAGTTAAAATTGATCAAGAATACGACAGCCTGACCACTCAACAACACAGGCTGTAGAGAGTATGACTCCAAGGTGTTTCACTGGCTCCCCAGGGAATTTCAGGTCAAACACGAGGACTTGGTCCTATTCTCCCAGACATCCCCAATTTTCAGCTTCACGCTGCATGATTAGCACAACAGCAATGTTCAGTGGAACACAGAATTGTTGACCCTAAGAATGAAATTCATGCATGCAGGAGACCGAACTTTCTCTGAAACTAATTCATAAACCTGGAGCTCACTCCTGAAAGAGACCAAGATGATCCTAAGACCATCAGCAGAACCAAAGACAAAACCCTATTTCTTTGACCAGGCCTTCACACAGGAACTCTGTACTAAAACAAAACAAAACAAAACAGGAAAACGAACTAAACAGAACCAACCAAACCCCTACAACTGAAAGGAGAGAGATATTTATGTGTACACCTCTATGGACTTGATTCTCCATTGCCTTGTGCCTTGCATAATCACTTACATCTTTGCAAAATGGGTGTAAAATGTCATCATTCTGATCTGGTGGTGATTTACACTCACTTTGCCCTCTGCACAGGTATATATGACTAGCAAAGGTGGAAGGCAGCAGAAAAATCAACCTCATAGTCTCTCTTGGACCTGTTTTGTAAGTAAAAAAAAAAAATCTCCCGAAAAGATGTGCAAGGCAACCTCCTGATTCAATAGCAAATTAGACTGTAAACTCTAAATTAGACTAAACTCTATCAGGGCAGGGAATATGTTTCCATGTGTGTTTGTAGGGCAAATTACAAAATAAGGCCCAATCCGGACTGAGGCCTTTGGGCATTATTGGAATAATGCAAATAATAAATAACAGTAATCATAATATCAGGCAGCTATATAAGGAAATGAAGGCAGATTTCTTAGCCTTCATTATATAGAGAGATATAATGTTGGTGTCTTACTGTCTTGAACTGAACTTTAATTGCTCCAACAGCTCCAGGTAGGTCTGTGCAGCTTGTGGTATAAACCCAAGAGTCAGGTCACTTGAAGTCAAGTTAATGAAGGAGAACACTCCTAATTACCCTTCCCACTGCTGTGATTACACTGTACTCACAGCACATTACTTTCAGTTGAAAGGCAGATGAGTTGCTTCCGTCAAAGTCACTATTAGTTTCCTCTTAAGATTTGGGCAATTGGGGATACACAAATTATGATGTGAAGGAGAGACCCTCCAGGACAGAGGTCAGATACGCTCTCTGGGCAATATGTTAAGTCTCCACCAGCAGGGGTGCAGGAGTTTTGAAGGAATTCCTTAAAAAAGCCTCTCTTACCCTGGAGCTATTCATTTTATTTTAAGACAGGCAATTGTAGAAGTCACTGAATAAATCCCTTGAGCCATAAAGCTCTGAAGTTCCACATTAAGAGTGTACAATTAATTTGCTTGGACTAATTTCTTGCTGACTAATTAGCAGTTGCACATTTCAAAGAAGTGCTAGATTTCTAAAAGCCATCCAGCTCCTACCTGAACTAGGGAGATAACCATTCCTATCCATCCAGGCAAGGGGCATCCTCATAGTGAAAACAGGAAGAGGAAGAGAGAGAAACACAGATAAACCAGCATTTAGAATCCTTCCATCCCAGTACACAATCCTAATCTATCCTGCCTGATAAAATGTCTTCCGCTGTTAGCAAGTTCAGATGGGAGAG